CATCTCTGGTGATGTCCCCCTATAGCTATTTAATCTTGTGATGTCCCCCTATAGCTATTTATCTCTGGTGATGTCCCCCTATAGCTACACATCTCTGGTGATGTCCCCCTATAGCTATTTATCTCTGTTGATGTCTCCCTATAAATACTAATCTCTGGTGATGTCCCCCTATAGCTACACATCTCTGGTGATGTCCCCCTATAACTATTTATCTCTGGTGATGCCCCCTATAGCTATGTATCTCTAGTGATTTCCCCTATATCTATGTATCTCTTGTTATGTCCCCCTATAACTATTTATCTCTGTTGATGTCTTCCTATAACTACTAATATCTGGTGATGTCCCCCTATAGCTACACATCTTTGATGATGTCCCCCTATTACTACACATCTCTGGTGATGTCCCCCTATAGCTATTTAATCTTGTGATGTCCCCCTATAGCTACTTATCTCTGGTGATGTCCCCCTATAGCTACACATCTCTGGTGATGTCTCCCTTTAGCTATTTATCTCTGGTGATGTCCCCCTATAGCTACACATCTCTGGTGATGTCCCCCTTTAGCGTTTTATCTCTGGTGATGTCCCCCTATACCTACACATCTCTAGTGATGTCCCCCTATAGCTATTTATCTCTGGTGATGTCCCCCAAAACTATTTATCTCTGGTGATGTCCCCCTATAGCTATTTATCTCTGGTGAAGTCCCCCTATACCTATTTATCTCTGGTGATGTCCCCTATAGCTACACATCTCTGGTGATGTCCTTCAATAACTATTTATCTCTGGTGATGTCCCCCTATAACTTTTTATCTCCGGTGATGTCCCCCTAATGCTACACATCTCTGGTGATGTCCCCCTTTAGCTATTTTTCTCTGGTGATGTCCCCCTATAGTTACACATCTCTGGTGATGTCCCCTATAGCTATTTATCTCTAGTGATGCCCCCCTATAACTACTAATCTCTGGTGATGTTTGCTATACCTACACATCTCTGGTGATGTCCCCCTATAACTACTAATCTCTGGTGATGTTTGTCTATACCTACACATCTCTGGTGATATCCCCCTATAGCTACACATCTCTTGTGATGTCCCCCTATACCTACACTTCTCTGGTGATGTCCCCCTATTACTACACATCTCTGGTGATGTCCCCCTTTAGCTATTTTTCTCTGGTGATGTCCCCCTATAGTTACACATCTCTGGTGATGTCCCCTATAGCTCTTAGTGATGTTCCACTATAGCTATGTATCTCTGGTGATGTCCCCTAAATCTATTTATCTCTGATGATGTCCCCCTTTGGCTACACATCTCTGGTCATGTCCCCCTTTAGCTATTTATCTCTGGTGAAGTCCCCCTATACCTATTTAGCTCTGGTGATGTCCCCTATAGCTTCCCATCTCTGGTGATGTCCTTCAATAACTATTTATCTCTTGGTGATGTCCCCCTATAGCTACACGCCTCTGGTGATATCTCCCTTTAGCTATTTATCTCTGGTGAAGTCCCCCTATACCTACTTATCTCTGGTGATGTCCCCTATAGCTACACATCTCTGGGGATGTTCCCCTATAGCTACACATCTCTGGTGATGTTCCCCTATAGCTACACATCTCTGATGATGTCCCCCTATTACTACACATCTCTGGTGATGTTCCCCTATAGCTACACATCTCTGGTGATGTCCCCCTATACCTACACATCTCTGGTGATGTTCCCCTATAGCTACACATCTCTGGTGATGTCCCCCTATAGCTACACATCTCTGGTGATGTCCCCCTATAGCTACACATCTCTGGTGATGTTCCCCTATAGCTACACATCTCTGGTGATGTCCCCCTATAGCTACACATCTCTGGTGATGTCTCCCTATAGCTACACATCTCTGGTGATGCCCCCTATAGCTATGTATCTCTAGTGATTTCACCTATATCTATGTATCTCTTTTTATGTCCCCCTATAACTATTTATCTCTGATGATGTCCCCCTATAGCTACACATCTTTGGTGATGTCCCCCTATAGCTACACATCTTTGGTGATGTCCCCCTACAGCTATTTATCTCTGGTGATGTCCCCCTATAACTATTTATCCCTAGTAATGTCCCCCTATAGCTACACGCCTCTGGTGATGTCCCCCTATAGCTACACGCCTCTGGTGATGTCCCCCTATAGCTACACGCCTCTGGTGATGTCCCCCTATAGCTACACGCGTCTGGTGTTGTCCCCCTATAGCTATTTAATCTTGTGATGTCCCCCTATAGCTATTTATCTCTGGTGATGTCCCCCTATATCTACACATCTCTGGTGATGTCTCCCTATAGCTACACATCTCTGGGGATGTCCCCCTATAACTACACATCTCTGGTGATGTCCCCCTATACCTACACATCTCTGGTGATGTCCCCCTATTACTACACATCTCTGGTGATGTCCCCCTATACCTACACATCTCTTGTGATGTCCCCCTATAGCTACACATCTTTGGTGATGTCCCCCTTCAGCTATTTATCTCTGGTGATGTCCCCCTATAACTATTTATCTCTAGTAATGTCCCCCTATAGCTACACGCCTCTGGTGATGTCCCCCTATAGCTACACGCGTCTGGTGATGTCCCCCTATAGCTATTTAATCTTGTGATGTCCCCCTATATCTATTTATCTCTGGTGATGTCCCCCTATAGCTACGCATCTCTGGTGATGTCCCCCTATAGCTATTTATCTCTGGTGATGTCCCCCTATAGCTATTTATCTCTGGTGATGTCCCCCTATAGCTACACATCTCTGGTGATGTCCCCCTATAGCTATTTATCTCTGTTGATGTCTCCCTATAAATACTAATCTCTGGTGATGTCCCCCTATAGCTACACATCTCTGGTGATGTCCCTCTTTAGCTATTTATCTCTGGTGATGTCCCCCTATAGCTACACATCTCTGGTGATGTCCCCCTATAACTATTTATCTCTGGTGATGCCCCCTATAGCTATGTATCTCTAGTGATTTCCCCTATATCTATGTATCTCTTGTTATGTCCCCCTATAACTATTTATCTCTGTTGATGTCTTCCTATAACTACTAATATCTGGTGATGTCCCCCTATAGCTACACATCTTTGATGATGTCCCCCTATTACTACACATCTCTGGTGATGTCCCCCTATAGCTATTTAATCTTGTGATGTCCCCCTATAGCTACTTATCTCTGGTGATGTCCCCCTATAGCTACACATCTCTGGTGATGTCCCCCTTTAGCTATTTATCTCTGGTGATGTCCCCCTATAGCTACACATCTCTGGTGATGTCCCCCTTTAGCGTTTTATCTCTGGTGATGTCCCCCTATACCTACACATCTCTAGTGATGTCCCCCTATAGCTATTTATCTCTGGTGATGTCCCCCAAAACTATTTATCTCTGGTGATGTCCCCCTATAGCTATTTATCTCTGGTGAAGTCCCCCTATACCTATTTATCTCTGGTGATGTCCCCTATAGCTACACATCTCTGGTGATGTCCTTCAATAACTATTTATCTCTGGTGATGTCCCCCTATAACTTTTTATCTCCGGTGATGTCCCCCTAATGCTACACATCTCTGGTGATGTCCCCCTTTAGCTATTTTTCTCTGGTGATGTCCCCCTATAGTTACACATCTTTGGTGATGTCCCCCTATACCTACACATCTCTGTTGATGTCCCCCTATACCTACACATCTCTGGTGATATCCCCCTATAGCTACACATCTCTTGTGATGTCCTTTCTCTGGTGATGTCCCCCTATAGTTACACATCTCTGGTGTTGTCCCCCTATAGTTACACATCTTTGGTGATGTCCCCCTATACCTACACATCTCTTGTGATGTCCCCCTATAGCTACCTATAGCTACACATCTCTGGTGATGTCCCCTATAGCTACACATCTCTGGTGATGTCCTTCAATACCTATTTATCTCTGGTGATGTCCCCCTATAACTATTTATCTCTAGTAATGTTGATGTCCCCCTATAGCTACTTATCTCTGGTGATGTCCCCCTATAGCTACACAACTTTGGTGATGTCCCCCTATCCCTACACATCTTTGGTGATGTCCCCCTATACCTACATATCTCTGGTGATGTCCCCCTATAGCTATTTAATCTTGTGATGTCCCCCTATAGCTACTTATCTCTGGTGATGTTCCCCTATAGCTACACATCTTTGGTGATGTCCCCCTATAGCTACACATCTCTGGAGTTGTCCCCCTATAGCTACACATCTCTGGTGATGTCTCCCTTTAGCTATTTATCTCTGGTGATGTCCCCCTATAGCTATTTAATCTTGTGATGTCCCCCTATAGCTACTTATCTCTGGTGATGTCCCCCTATAGCTACACATCCCTGGTGATGTCCCCCTATACCTACACATCTCTAGCTACACATCTCTGGTGATGTCCCCCTATACCGACACATCTCTGGTGATGCCCCCCTATACCTACACATCTCTGTTGATGTCCCCCTATACCTACACATCTCTGGTGATGTCTCCCTATAGCTACACATCTCTGGTGATGTTCCCCTATACCTACACATCTCTGGTGATGTCCCCCTATAACTACTAATCTCTGGTGATGTTCGTTTATACCTACACATCTCTGGTGATGTCCCCCTATACCGACACATCTCTGGTGATGCCCCCCTATACCTACACATCTCTGTTGATGTCCCCCTATACCTACACATCTCTGGTGATATCCCCCTATAGCTACACATCTCTTGTGATGTCCCCCTATACCTCCACTTCTCTGGTGATGTCCCCCTATTACTACACATCTCTGGTGATGCCCCCCTATAGCTACACATCTCTGGTGATGTCTCCCTATAGCTACACATCTCTGGTGATGTTCCCCTATACCTACACATCTCTGGTGATGTCCCCCTATTACTACACATCTCTGGTGATGCCCCCCTATAGCTACACATCTCTGGTGATGTCTCCCTTTAGCTATTTATCTCTGGTGATGTCCCCCTATAGCTATTTAATCTTGTGATGTCCCCCTATAGCTACTTATCTCTGGTGATGTCCCCCTATAGCTACACATCTTTGGTGATGTCCCCCTTTAGCTATTTATCTCTGGTGATGTCCCCCTATAACTATTTATCTCTAGTAATGTTGATGTCCCCCTATAGCTACTTATCTCTGGTGATGTCCCCCTATAGCTACACATCCCTGGTGATGTCCCCCTATACCTACACATCTCTAGCTACACATCTCTGGTGATGTCCCCCTATATCTACACATCTCTGGTGATGTCCCCCTATACCTACATATCTCTGGTGATGTCCCCCTATAGCTATTTAATCTTGTGATGTCCCCCTATAGCTACTTATCTCTGGTGATGTCCCCCTATAGCTACACAACTTTGGTGATGTCCCCCTATCCCTACACATCTTTGGTGATGTCCCCCTATACCTACATATCTCTGGTGATGTCCCCCTATTACTGCACATCTCTGGTGATGTCCCCCTATACCTACACATCCCTGGTGATGTTCCCCTATAGCTACACATCTCTTGTGATGTCCTTTCTCTGGTGATGTCCCCCTATAGTTACACATCTCTGGTGATGTCCCCTATAGCTACACATCTCTGGTGATGTTCCCCTATAGCTACACATCTCTTGTGATGTCCCCCTATAGCTTCACATCTCTGGTGATGTCCCCCTATAGCTACACATCTCTGGTGATGTCCCCCTATAGCTACACATCTCTGGTGATGTCCCCCTATAGCTATTTAATCTGGTGATGTCCCCTATAGCTTTGGATCTTTTCTAATCCTGTTAGAATGCAGTGAGTGGGTGTAAGGTGTGATGCTACTGTATATGTCCATGCTATGATATTTTTGTGTTGTAGCACTTGGAAGTGGCCGCTTGAGTGGCATCACTTTCAGTGGACGTACTTCATTGTACGGCTTCAGCTATTGTGAAGGTTTCAAACCCTAAATCAATTGATCTTTATTTCAGAGAGGCTGGGATGAACTTGAAGGGCCTTTCTCATCTGATCGAGAGCCACTATGATGCCTTACTTCATAAAAAACTGTTATTAGCCAATGCCATCAACATCGATGTGTTGAAGAAATGTTTTACACTGAAAGAACAGCAACTATATGTACCAGTTGAAATTAAGTAAGTTTCAATTCTAGAATTATTGACCATGTAAAAAGACAAATAATGTTGAGCATTCTTTTCTACCTTGATATTGTAAATTTTTCTCATTTCTGACTCGTTTGTGGTTTTAGCAAATGTCCTCATTATGTGTCTTAAACTTTCCAGCGTCCTCTCAAATGTCTACCAAATAGATTACATCTTTTCGTTTACTCTAACAAGATCATGTTTAGAATGCTCTAATTAACTAAAAGGTCTTAGACAATTACTTATTAAAAAGGACTTTCAACCCCTCCCCCCAAAAAACCCCACCTTTTATCATTATCTATAAAGTGTGTAAGAAGCAGTTATGTGATCTGGGTTGGTGAAAAGCTTGGTACTCTCTAGAGTGGGGTTTACGTTTGTGAATAATCATTCAAGGTTTTCATAAAAGTTTGTTTGGAATATTTTTGATAACCCTTTTAGTTTGTTATTTCATTACCTGTTAAGTTTTTCTTTTTCCTTTTTAGGTCAGTGTTTGCTGTGTACTTTGAGCAGTCCGGTCCAGAAGATTTTTCCCTTCTGAACAAATTGTGTCTTTGTTTTGGTTTATATTCCGTTAAAGGAAAGAGACCTAGGAACCTTCATAAAGGTGTTATCAGGTAAGTATTTTGTTTACCCAAATTCTTGAAACTATGCAGCAGCTAATTTTCGTTTTTGTCTCGCCGCCATGAAGTAATGGAAGCGAGACTAAGGGCACAGGCGAGACATATAAATCAGAATGGCTTTTAAGCATCTGTTTACCTATACCCTGCTGGTTCAGTTAAAAAATTGGCCTGCAGCTGTATCCCACTTGATGTCGTAAAAGTCGACTAATGTAGGACCCTCTGCAGAGTCAGGAGTTTTCCTCTGTGTTTTCTGATAACGTGACATTGAAGAAATCACAATTGATCGGCTGCCCCCATTGCAACATATGGGATCTTGATACTTTTTCTCCATTTCCTCAAAACCTTTTTGTTTCCTAGTGCCTTGCTTGTCAATACCTCATTTTTGGCCTTGGTGCTGAACGTCACCCAAATGGGGTAGGTAATGGATTCTGTCCCCAGGCCAGGACATACCTTAGTCTTTAGAAATGGTTTGAGCTGTCACAATACACTTTACTCGTGATTCAATATGTATCTCAATATATGTACCACAATAAAATTATTTCAATTTGATACACCTTTATTATAAAATATAAACAAAGTGAGAGATAGAGGCTTCCCACACTTCCTTGACCTGTCTCCAAACATTCTTATGACTCTTCTAAAAATGGTAGTTCATATTTCATGCTTAACGATCAGCATTTAGAGTTATAGCAACAACTGGTTTACCCGTTGTCAGTATAGTGTGACTGGGTGGAATACTGTGCTTGGTGCCTTCAACACAGTATTTCAGTGAGGTAGCATTCTAAAGTTGGCATTAGATCTCAGTTATCACATGTAGGTAACTACATCAACATACACTTTCTCTAGCACACATCCACACAAGCACGTATACATAACACCCATTGAGGCACATCCTTAAATGACCTTAGCTGTTAATAGGACATGAAGAAAAATAAAACCAAACCAAATCTGTTAACTTATATTGTGGCATGATGGTTTTTGTACATCTGTCTTCTTTCAACAACCTCTTTTGAACAAACAAGATGAAATCTGGCATGAAGCTTGCTGGAGTAAAGGCATTTTAGGTTTTCAAATAATCTTGGGATCCATTAAGAAAGTCATCAAATCTTGATAAAAAGACCAATTAATGTACCATGTTATGGGACTGATCATGAGGTTGATACTAAATGATTCAAGTTATGATCTTGTCTAGAGACACCGATTTTTCTCTTACCATTCGTTTTCTTTTATTGTGTTTATTTGCTTGATTTTTATTATCAATAGTAGCATTGCCTCATTTCAGTTTCTTTGGTGTCACAATAATCAGCTTATAAGTACTTCAAAACTTACAATGAGTTTTTGGTGCAGTGTGCAAAGGTCAAGCTTCAGCTACATGATTCGTTAACAGATTTTGATCAAACTTTACAGGAAAAGTTAGCTTTGAGAATACTTTGAATGAGGTTGTATTTTAGGAGCAAAGATCAAGGTCACTCTTACTGCTTTAAGGAAGATTAAAGAAAATTAAAATAGTTTGCATGGGATTTGGGGCATTTTTGTTGCGAGACATTTTCTAGTTTTAGCTGGGAGTATATCAGGTCTATGGGTGATGTGAAACACATAAGTGGTGTTTTTGGTTGAAATTAAAGTAAATTATCTCAAAACATTGTTTATATTTCTTAATAGTACATAATGAATTGAAGATATTATTTACCTGCTTGCTCACAAACTATTTTTTGTCATTTATTTCGTCAAGCTTTAGTGCTGATGGTCAATTTTACTTTAAGGTGGAAATGCATCTTTTAAACATATTTAATTGTATGAAACACATCTTCATTCATTCAAAATTCGTCAATGATGTGTGGAGAGTATGTTTGAAGAGAGCTGTGTTACATATATGATAAATGTGGTAAAAGATGCATTTTAATCCTTGTATTTATCAGTCTAAACAGGACAGGTAATATTATTCTATCATTATTTGTTATCATATTGGGTAAAAAGATGACTTTTGTTTTAGCAATTGGCAGAACAGCCATTTTTTGCAGGAATAATATTGCGCTTTCTGTGGTTATTATACTGTTCCATCAGGCAGCAGATGTCCTACTCAAACCATTTGGGAATTTTGTGAAAATTTGAATTTGACGCCAAGTCATGACTGGTGACAAATTACTCGAGGAGTTTGATGGAAAGACCCCAACAGTTTCTGATTGGAAAATTTCATGTGTTACAGTTCTTGCTTTTATTGGATTATAACATTATTTTAGTCTCTGATCAAGAAAATTTCAGTTGTATGTGGATATCTGTGGAAAAAAAAAATAAAAAAAAATAAAAAAAAATTGGAAGCACTCATTGTGTGATCTGATGATGGTATCAATGTTTATGTCATCCCTCTCTGTGTAACTAATATTGTACTTGTGGGAAGCTTTAAAAAGAGATAAATATGATGTTGTTTTTTTTCGAGAATCTGATAAAATTGTCATCAGGTGGATTTAGGCTGTGCACATTAAGCAAAAGTTTCTATCTGAAACCAACATTGATGGAAAGTCTACCCAAAGGAATCATATTAAAAATGTAAAAGACTTTTTCAGTCGGATGACGTTAATGGAAAGATGAAGCATTATGCATGGGTACATTGTGATTACCTAGTATGCATACCACATTTAGATAAGGCAGTGTGTATTACATGAAGTCAAAAGTCAGGATGTATGCATGTGTTAGGCAGAACAATAGAATAATTAATTTTATTAATACATTTATTGTGATTAGGTCAAAGGTTAACTTGGAGCACAGGCTGGGGTCAAATGTAAACATTTGCTTTAATGAGTAAAACTAAAAGTCTTTAAGAATCTTGTCAAGTTCCATCATGCACCCAGGGGCCATAATCGGTCATAGGATACCTGAGATGGATTGCTGTGAAGTTTCTTTCAATGAAATTTAATTCCTTTCAAGCTTGTATGGGTCAAAAATGTTAAAAAATTCAAACAGCATTCTGTAAAAAATCATAAGATTGAGAGCCATGATACTTATTATGTAATATAGTAGAGTGTTATGCAGTTTCTTTATATCAATTATCTTGACCTACTTTCAATGTTAAAGGGGTAAAATATGTTAAAAACAATACAAGCTTTAATTAACATTAAGTGTCTAAAGTTCCAGAGCATGCTACCTGGAATTGTTCTGTAGACAAACTGTGTTACTGTTGTAACTTAGACTGAGCTCTTGCTGAGGTCAAATTTTAACCTGGGCTATAATGAGTAAATAGCTTTAAGAATATTCTTAAGTTCGATAAGGCCTTGGGGTTATGATGTCTGGTCAGTAAGTAGCTAGGATGCAGTGCTATACAGTTTACTCATATAAATGACATTGACTTACATTTTAGAGTTTATGGGTCCCCTGTTCATATCTTGGAATTACTTTATATCCATTAACACCATATAATTCATCACAAGGCCTAAGGAGACTAACACAGTCATGCTGCAAGAATTACCCCTTAGCTCCAGGTCTGCCCCTGAGGACTCAGTCACTGGGTCATAATATGGAAACAGCTTAGATCCCTAACTATCACCCCGTATGGAATAGCTGTACATGAAAATACAAATATACTCATGCGAGCATGACATCTTATGGGCCCTACACCTGGCGGCCTATAAGGGACTTAAGTCCCTGGATAATAACTTGGAAAAGGTTGAGATCTTCGTCATATGATCATATATATATATATATATATGCTTGCTACAAGCATGCTACCAGGATATGCTCTGGGATCTTGACTTCCTCTTAGGGCTCAGTCCAAAGTAAATAACATGGAAGTGATTGAGATCCCAACCCAATAACCATATACCCGATACACATATATACAGATCTCAACAGCATTTCCATTGTGACAACCTCGGAACCAGATTGACATTGTCCAGAACGCATTATAACATTTAATGAGAATATGAAAAAGAAAGGGCTTTGTCAGTTTACCTTAAAAATATCCCTCCAGGTGCAGATGTTTTCTGCCATTTTTCCGTGTACTGAATCATATAAGGTCACGAGATTCTGCACATTTGTTATCTTCGGGTGTACATTAAAAATAGATTTAGTAAAGCTGTTACTGGTTTTCATTCCCCTGTGATTTAGTTGATAAAGCAGTCCAAGCTATATTTGTGTCTGTGTAAACTTCTAAAAAATAAATCAGTTCCGCATTGCATATTTCTCAATATTTGCTGCCACTAATAGTCCTTGTCCCAGAGATGATTATTTCTGAAGATTCTTTCAAAAGAAGGATTGGATGACTGAAACTTTTTTGAAGTGTCTGTCATCTGCAGTTATAACATGTTAAAGCTGTTGACTCTTCATTGTTAAGAATATGCCATGTGTACCCACGACTTCCCTTCGTTCCAAATAAATCAATAGATACTCCCCATGACAGATCAGTAATATACAATGATCCCTCCCCACAAGGGAAACTAACGATAGCTGAATTGGCTGTATCTGTGAGCAAACTGTTTATGACAATAACTGCCTTGTTATTAAAACGTGAGTACACATTTAATGTCATGTCATAAAAATGTGTGTTTGCTTAATGTCTTGTCACTCAAATACGTGTACTACAGTAAAGGCAACAGCTTCCCATGCTATTAAAATTGATATTTTTTTTTGTGCTTACGGTTGATAAAGCTGGATATAAAATTGTTACCAGATAGTTTGTTTCGATTTCTTGGATGATTTATTCGCTTTGTCGTTGAATATTGGCCATATCAAGTGATGTATGTATCACCGTCTTTCAAGGACATTATTTCTGTTGCAACACTCACACAGTCAGTTCTAAAACGCTCGTACATTATAAAACACAACAATTGCACACCGTATTTACCTCAAAAACACACCATAATAGCTTCACCATGTGTATACAACAATATATCCCACTAGTTAAGGGGTTTTGTGTTGACTCCCTTCTGTTTCAAAAGTAGTTTAGATCGATTTTGAATCCACTAGAAAGACGACACGGTTCATGATGCAACGTAATTCATTTTTGCCATAACGGATCTACTACTAACCTTTACGAGTGCAATATCATGTGTGTGTGTCATTCGTTCATCCTTTTGTTATCTGTGAAAGTGGAAGTTATGGCAGTGTGGAAATGCTTGCGTTTAGCAAGTTAGCTGAAATACATCCACAATATGTATACATGTATATAGATTATATAATACAGAATTTACGGATATCAGAACCATAACAAACGGAAAATTTATTTTTTCACACTGCAAACAGTTTAAAGAGTCACAACTTCAACATTTGCAGACATGAGAATTTCCACTTTTATAGTATACAGTGAGATTCAAACAGTAATGATGTTTCTGATGATAACATTTTATTTTTCAGGTTTTATTTTGACAGAAAAGAAGGTATCTTGGTAGGGTCGTCATCACAAGAATTTTACAAACACAAACCTGCAGACTATCAGGCTCTTACGATACAGAATACAGACAAAGTAAGATAAGCATCATCAAAGGCATCTTAATACACCCATTACCTTATACATCAGCGTACTATATTTACTGTGGATCACTGTACAATAGTTTGTTGTAAGTATTGATATTTTCATCATAATCAAAATCAAAGCTTATTGCACTACATGTCGAGGGGTTGAACATGATCAGCATAACTGTAAAATCATTATGCATTGTTAAAATATACATGTTAGCTATTTATACAATTAAATAATATAGGTATACATATGTATATACATAAAACAAATGACGAGAGTTTCTTAGTACATCCCTAGCGCTTTCACCTCTTTAGGTTCATCAGGGAAACTCTGAAAATATATATAATATATTTCACAAATGAAGCTGTATGAAACTTAAATCATTCTAGAATAAAATCTACGGAGTTTTGAGTGACTGAAGCAGAATGATTCATTAACCTGGTCAATTTTATTGTTGTGCTATTGTTTGATTTTGCCAAAATGAAATATCCTGTGCCCTTATAGGAGGGTGCCCCTGTAGTAGGGAAATAAGATTCTTTTTCTTTTTATGATAGTTTATATTTCACTGATTTCACCCTCGTCAAACATGAGTATTTATAGAGATGTGAAGGATAATGTTTCCCTACTACAAGAACTAAATGTTTGTTATCAAACTTATAATTGTTTTCATAGGAAGACATGTCCAATGAAGCTATCGATTTTTCAAAATCATTCATTTAGATTGGTTATTATGCTGTTAAACTGTTAGTATTGTTATAGGATATCAAAGAGTATTTGTTTTTAATTTACATTTGTATAATTGTACAAACAATTTTACTGAAAACATATTCTTGTACATTGTACATGTATGTAATATCAACTGTGATTTAAACCATTATATAGCGCTTTAATTTAGCGGTGTCAAATTTTGCGATTTTGTTTCTAGAATATTTTAGGTTTACAAAATTTGTGCAATATTTTCTACAATCAATAGTCCTATAGGAAATCTTTTAAAGTACGGCAGCAAATAGACATTTAAGGACATTTTTTACCCCGCAGACAAAATTGTGATAAAACCCAGTCGCAATATGAACAAAATTTGAATAAAACCAATGATTTCTGAAAACATTTTGATTTTCTTATCACAGAGTTGCAAGGTCACAATCTTAATAGTTTACAATCATTTTAACAGGAACACTTATCATATATTAATCTATGTTTGTAATTGAAATTTGTAGAAAAAAAGCCGTAGAGTGCAATATTGCCGTGATACGTTTGATGGACGTTAATACTCTTTAAGAAATAATTATCATCATCTTAACTGTTAATGCGATGTTTTAACTGCTAAAACAAAATGACATTAAGAATCAGCTTATATGTCCAATGGTAGTTTATGATTTTATGTATTTGCGTTTGATTTGATACATTATCCTGTATTTAATCTTTGCTGATTTTGATACATTCCGTCAATTTAATATTTTTCTTGGTATCATACGGAAGCTTAATTGTGATGTCAGAATCTTTTCAATATGTTAAACCAAAGAGTGTTGTTTTAGTGTATACATCTAAAGCTTCATTGTGCTGTAACATATAACAGTTGTTGGACTTAAGTTTGTACATAGTATCTAATTGGCCTCATGCCATAGCTTTCATAAAACAAAAGAAAAATAAAAGCATTTAAACCCATTTCATTTTTAACCTGCGTTTAACCTTAATATAATGCTTTATTTGCTGTCTCTCTCTGCATTGGCCTTATTAGGATATTTTTACTTGCACCCTCATGCAATGCCTTGTCAAACCAATTTATGGTAATTTTCAATGATATGTTTATCAAATTCTTTACACGCGTTTTAGTGTATATAACATTTTAAGGATTTCATAATTATGTTTTCTGTTTTATGTGATCTTGCAATTTAATCATGGTGAGACAACAAGAAAGTTGTCACTTCAATTTATTTTTGGCTCTCTGTAACAAAAATTGTAACATTTTAATTTGGCGGCTGGTTGGAGGCAGCCAAATAGATTGTTTCACAAGTGTGCCATTAGCGAGAATCTGTTAATTGCAAAATGGGTCTTCCAAAATCAAACTCAAATGGCGCCATTTGGTCGAAGATGGTGTATAAAATCATTCCACTCAAAAGTTCAACTGTGCGAATAAATCTATTTGAAGGACGATCTCCAGATGATTCGATACTATGTGATAAAACAAGATTTCTTCTTTTGCCAAATATTCCAATATCACTCATTTTTTCTGTTTTAACGAATGGAAGCTTTGACTAAGCTTGTTCCTGATGCCAATTTAATAGATTTTTCATATCAACTTTTTGCTAAGTTTATGCCAAAAAGTTAGATTCCAGAGAAGTGTTGTGGCGGTAAATTCTGTTCTTTGACCTCCGTCCCTGCAATATGTAGTATGTTTCAGTTATGCAGCTTAATTTAGCACAGATGATTAATTTTTCTCATTTTGTTGGCTTTGGGTTGTTACTTATGTTTGATTTTATGTGATTCAAGGAGACATGATTTTGTTTATTAGTGTAGTAATTTGTTTACAAAATACTTTTCTCTTTCAGCAAGTACCGCAGTTTGATTATGTATACCAAATCAAAGAATGTATGTACATTTTATAATCATATTTGTGTATGTAGGTATGCTAATCAAATGTACATGATGCGTCTTTATCTTAGAGATGAGTGTAAGAGAATGCTGGGAAGAAGTTCTTGCACAAAAAAGTGGTGTATTTTAGGTACTGGCCAGCCGATAAAAATCTTGATCATTACTTTTAGATTCTTAAGAAGACAAACACTACTACATGATTTTTTTGGACAAAAACATAACCGGTGTGGTACATAATGCGAAAACTCAACATTTATTTTTGAGTTTACAGTTTAACCTAAAATCTGAATAATGCTTTTAGCGTCAAAATGAAAATATATTATTGACTTATAGCCATGTGGTACCCATAACATAATGAAAATTCATAAATGGATGTGTTTTCCTCATTACAAAGATCCAGAGACATAGCTGCTAGAAATAGTAAACTGACAGAGAATAAACTGTAGTGGTACAGTGAGACAAAGGACAAGACTGAATGACACAATAACGTATAGGGGAGACTGTCTCCAATGGTACAATTATATAAACAACGAAACTGTCCCCAATGGTACAATTATATAAACAACGAGACTGCCTCCAATAGGACAATTATATAAACAACGATACTGTCTCCAATGGTACAATTATATAAACAAAGAGACTGTCTCCAATGGTACAATTATATAAACAACGAGACTGTCTCCAATGGTACAATTATATAAACAACGAGGCCGTCTCCAATGGTACAATTATATAAACAACGAGACTGTCTCCAATTGTACATTTATATAAAAAACGAGACTGTCTCCAATGGTACAATTATATAAACAACGAGACTATCTCCAATGGTACAATTATATAAACAACGAGACCGTCTCCGATGTTACAATTTTATAAACAACGAGGCTGTCTCCAATGGAATAGTGACAAACCGAGACAGGAATTTTACAATGACACAGGAGAAGGCACTGTCTTTGGTGGTACAAAGATTTAAAGGACGGAACTGTCGATTGTGGAAAAGTAACACAAGGCTATGACTGTACGTAGTAGTCCAAAATCACAAAAGATAAGGCTACGACTGTACGTAATAGTACAAAAACACAAAGGACGCGGCTATGACTGTACCTAATAGTGCAAAAACACAAAGGACAAGGCTATGACTGTACCTAATAGTACAAAAACACAAAGGACACGGCTATGACTGTACCTAATAGTACAAAAACACAAAGGACAAGGCTATGACTGTACCTAATAGTACAAAAACACAAAGGACAAGGCTATGACTGTACCTAATAGTACAAAAACACAAAGGACAAGGCTATGACTGTACCTAATAGTACAAAAACACAAAGGACAAGGCTATGACTGTACCTAATAGTACAAAAACACAAAGGACAAGGCTATGACTGTACCTAATAGTACAAAAACACAAAGGACAAGGCTATGACTGTACCTAATAGTACAAAAACACAAAGGACAAGGCTATGACTGTACCTAATAGTACAAAAACACAAAGGACAAGGCTATGACTGTACCTAATAGTACAAAAACACAAAGGACAAGGCTATGACTGTACCTAATAGTACAAAAACACAAAGGACAAGGCTATGACTGTACCTAATAGTACAAAAACACAAAGGACAAGGCTATGACTGTACCTAATAGTACAAAAACACAAAGGACAAGGCTATGACTGTACCTAATAGTACAAAAACACAAAGGACAAGGCTATGACTGTACCTAATAGTACAAAAACACAAAGGACAAGGCTATGACTGTACCTAATAGTACAAAAACACAAAGGACAAGGCTATGACTGTACCTAATAGTACAAAAACACAAAGGACAAGGCTATGACTGTACCTAATAGTACAAAAACACAAAGGACAAGGCTATGACTGTACCTAATAGTACAAAAACACAAAGGACAAGGCTATGACTGTACCTAATAGTACAAAAACACAAAGGACAAGGCTATGACTGTACCTAATAGTACAAAAACACAAAGGACAAGGCTATGACTGTACCTAATAGTACAAAAACACAAAGGACAAGGCTATGACTGTACCTAATAGTACAAAAACACAAAGGACAAGGCTATGACTGTACCTAATAGTACAAAAACACAAAGGACAAGGCTATGACTGTACGTAGTAGTACAAAAACACAACGGACACAGCTATGACTGTACGTAATAGTACACAAACACAAAGGACACGGCTATGACTGTACCTAATAGTACAAAAACACAAAGGACAAGGCTATGACTGTACGTAGTAGTACAAAAACACAACGGACACAGCTATGACTGTACGTAATAGTACACAAACACAAAGGACACGGCTATGACTGTACGTAATAGTACAAAAACACAAATGACACGGCTATCTCTAGTTGTACAATGATACAAAGGACTTAACTTTCGACAGTTGTATAATTATACAAAGGCTGACACAGTCAGGAGTGGTACAGTGAAACAAATGGTGATACAGTCGATAATGGTAAAACGACATATGAATCTGTCTGAAGTTGAAATATAACACAAAAGGTAATATAACACAAAAGGTGAGACTGTCTCCATTGAAACAATTACACTTCATGGGTACAGTGACGAGGGAAAAACTGTGCAGTAGTACAAAGATGGAATACAGATGGTTTATATAAACTTGCTTAAGTTTTATATTCCACATTAAAAGGCTTGATTAGGTCATTCATATGAATTTGATTATGATTGAACTCCGCATATACAATTGGACAGTCTGAAGAGGAAATATTCTTTATCTAACGTTTCTGTCGTATAATTGACTGACCGTAGATTCCAATTGGTTTTACTTTAAAATGCATGGCTTGTTGTATTTGTTCTAATTCGTACTATTTGTATGTTGACATACTTACCTGTATACATTCTGTACTTGCTGTGTGCAATATATTGTTAATGATTTTGAGATAGCTGCTGTGTGCATTTTGCTTTAAGTCAACAGTTGTTGCGAGATTTGCTGTATTTATGTGCCATTTAATTGCAATATCGTTATGAACATTTGTTCACGTAATCATAGATATTTACGATTCAAGTATTTTTGAATTGTATGAGAAAAGTCTTTACTTATTTTATACCAGAAATACAATTATATTGTTGAAAGTTTCATACAGTGTAGTGTTACTGATGAAACTGTTACTGCCTAGTGCGCATTGTTTTGAATTCTAATTGATTCATTTATCTTTGTGTTT